TCCTCTGCCACTGGCCTGAGCATCTCCTTGGCTCCCGACACCCGCCCCGGTGCCGCCCGGGGAGAAGGCGCGTTTCTGGTGGCAGCCCCCTCTGTCCAGAGTATTTTTAGGCGAAACAGGGGGAAAGCGGGCAAACCCTGGCCACCAGGACAGCTTTGCCACCAGCCTCTCAGAGACCACAAGGCTCACGAGTTTCACCCTCTTTAAAAAAAAAAAAAGCCCCCCCCATTCCTCATCCTTTTCCTTTGTTGCTTTCTAAGCCTGCGGGCTGCACTGCCTTTGCATCTCTAAGCCAGTCTGTGCAAGCTTCTCTCCCGGTTAATTGCTTTGTAAAATACATAATGGAAAGCAGAGATTCTCACCCAAAAGCTGGCAGCAGGCCTTTTTTTTTTTTTTTTTTAATTGGTAGTTCATTAGGCTGTGAGCAGGGTCAGGTGCTGAACACTTTTGTTTCCTGGTTTTCGTTGTGGTTAGGAAAAAAACTGGATGGATGGATGTTCACATTTGCTGCTATGATGTTATGGTGACTGTAGCAATTAAAGCTCTGAGGATGCACAGAGCATAGTCAATATATATCAAGAAGCATCACTTTGAATGATGACTGCTATTTGCAGCTGGTTACTGTTTCCCAAACAAAGCATGGTAGGACCAAGCCCTCATCCCTCCATCTCTCACTGCTACTTCTCACCAGATCTTAGATGTCAGAACTCATTAAAAAAACCAGCCGAAGCAAATGTATGTTGTGGTTGCGAAACCGTGTGTATTCAGTACACACAGTTATCTGGCCTTCGCGTGTGCTGCTGTGGTATCTGTTGTTATTGCTGTGTCAAAGGCAGGTACCACAAAACCAGCTGGATGCACAAAACCCCAGATTCCCGGGGATTTTGCAGATACTCCCCCTGTTTGGGATCCCATCAGGGCCGTGAATTGAGTCAGCATGCGCGAGCCGTCGGCTAATCGGAAGGGGCATCCGTGCTGGAGGATGGACTTTCGCAGAGTCCTTTCCTCCCCAGCCGCCGCCAAAGGATGCCAAGCTGGCTCTTGTGCAATCACGGAGGCAGCATGTTTGCGTGGGGGAGAAGGATGAGCTGCTGGAAAGCAATATAAGGCACGCGGCAGGGAGCACGAGAGCGACCCGGGGCAGCGGTGGGTGAAGGAGCATAGAGTGGCCTGGCGATGGTAAGTGTGATGAGAACAAGGGGAGACCTTGACGCTGGTGGGACCTCCCAGGACTGCTGCAGCGAGCAAGGAGCAGAGCGGGGAATAAACCCTCCTCGCCTGGAGGTCTGGCGGTCACAGCCGCTCGGGGTCGAGCAGAAGGGGTAGGGCAGCGATGTGCTGCCAGACCAGAGTGAGGCTTTGCCCCACTCTCAGTGCACCTGCAGGGCAGAGGGGTGGCAGAGCATCACTCCAGCCACCGGCCCCGGCTGACTCATATCCACATCTCTGATAAGGAGACTCCAGTGTCCAGGGCTCATCCAGCATCGTGCCATTAATTTCCCTACAGAAATCCATTATCTGTACCAATGGGGGACATCGACTTAATCTGTGGCTTTGTAGCATTAATTTTAGTTGCGTTCAAGGCTTTGGGGGGTTTTTATCCCATTGTCTCCTTGTTATGGATATGGGTTACTGGAAAAGCAAGGATCCTTTCGCAAATCCTAACTCTTCACAAGAGCTGTAGTGGGAAGAGGGAAACTCCTTTCCTCTGCGGGGAGCCTGGACTGATGCCTCAGCTGTGCGGTTTTACTCAAAGTGCCTGTTCTTACCGAAATGTGGCTTTATCACTGCCAGCACATCCCTGCAGGTTCGAGGTCTGGTTTCTCCCACCCCCTCTTTCTGGAATAGCTACCTAAATTCAGGACAGTATTTGACCCTTGTGTTAGCCTGGCTGGGCCAGGGGGGGAGGCTTTGCTGCTCTGCCCCTTGGGATAGGAAATGACTTTGTGCCATTGAACCTAGCGTTTTTGGAGGAAATACAGTACAGAAATTATTGCACCCATACTTGAGGGTTGGCTCGTTCTGAATGACTGCAGACATCTCCAGCGAGCATGCTAAAAACCCGAGTTACCCAGAGCCTGCTTGTTTTTACAGGAAAGGACTGTGAGATGTTTGCTGCTGGTCTCTGCCCTCTGCCTGGCTGGCTGCGAAGGCAACAAGAGTGAGTCTCCCTGTACACTGTCCCTGCTGGGTCACAGACAGGTGGTATGGAAAGGAGAGGTCAAACCCTCACCTGATCCGTGTCCAGGGTCCTCATTCAGGGCACTGCTGAAGGCTGCTAAGGGGGGACAACAGAGCAGGGCTCAGGGGGGCAGGAACTGGGGTGCAAGAGCCGGCAAAATAGGCAGAAACCTCAGGCTCTCCGTCCCAGCCACATATGGTATATAACCTGTGGAGATGGGCACAGGTACTGTGACGTGCCATCACTCTCCTTGCTAGCTGGTGGCAGGCTCCATAGCTCTAATCCAGATTACGGCCATGATGAGGAGGTCTCCCAGGCTCTCAGTCACATCCTCATCCAGGCAAGCTGAGGCAGCAGGTTTTTCCTCAGATGTGCCTGCTCTGGCTCCAGGCGAGGATCTCAGCCCTTGCGAGCTGTGCAGGGCTTCATGCCGTGGGGCGAGTTCGCTCTCACGTCTCTCGTAGGGGAGATATTCTTGCTGCCTTTCAGCTTACTCGCCTTTCCTTTGCTGCAGGTGAGCTGGTGAGCCCACATGGCCTGAGGCGAGGGGTTGCCCTCCGTCTCAAGAGGAGCCCAGACGTCTGCCTGCCAAACCCGTGCCAGCACCAGGGTGACTGCCAGGTGATGGAGGACAGACCAGTTTGCAGCTGCAAACCAGGCTTCACAGGGTCGTTCTGCCAAGGTAGGGCTGGCGGTGTTGATGAGCCCTCCCCAGTCTGTCCACAGGCACCAAAGGGAAGGGTGATGGGCACGGTGCACTGGTGTTACCACTGCTCTCCACTGCAGGCTCCAGGAGCACATCCCAGCTCCTGATTCAGGTGCATTCCCCACCACCACCACCATGTCCTGACTACATATTGGTACAAGACCCAGTCACAGGCCATTTCCTTCCTCCCCAAAATTCTTAATTCCTGTAAGAAGGAAACCTTGGCTGTCAAGAAGCCGTGCCATGGTGTAGCCGTGTCAGGGAAGCAGGGCGTGCTGTGGAGCACAGCTGCCTCACAGTCTCGGCACAACCACATGGACTCCAGCACAGCTGCAGTGAAGACTCCTTCCAGACACTGGCCAAAAACTGTGTCTTGTTCATCTGAAAGAGAGGATCGCTGTTCCTGTCTGGTGCCCTTGGCAGGCTGCAGTGATTCTGTAGGCAGCCCTCGTGGGCCAGACCCACAACATCTGCCTTTGATGTCTTGAGCTTAAGGACTGTGTGTGTTCAGAGTAGTGGCAACCATGGACTTGTGCAGGTCTTGGCAACCGGTAGAAAATGACAGACCCACATTAACTTCTGCGCATTCCCAAAGGTTTGTCTTTTGCCCAGTGTCTCTGAAGAGCCCTACCAGCAGCCTCCAACAAGGCTGGGATGAGGGTCTGTTGAGCTCAGCGGTACTGTGCCATCCTGTAGCTCACCTAGGGCTCCTTCAGGCCTCTTCCTTATTGCTATTGCAGATGGCTTTTTCCCCCAGATGTGGTACTGAAGTTGGCCTGCGAGGAAGAGCACATGAAGATGATGGTGAGGAAGGAGGTGTTTGAACTCCTGAAAATCCCCCGGGAGCTTGTCCACTTGAAGAACCAGGCATGCAAGGTCTCAGAAAGGGAAGAAGAGGGTGAGCTGTTTTTTGCAGCCACTCTCACAGGTGAAAACCACACTGCCTGTGGATCAATAATTCAGGTGAGGATCCAGCAAAGCCTCTCTGCATAGCTCTGAAGCCATGAGAGGAGCAGA